CTAAATGTAGATCCCCGCTGATTGCATCGTTGCTATCGGCCAATTATCCGCTGCGGGCTTTGAGCGTGTCACAAGTCGCGCTCCGGTGTTTGCGCTTTACGCGCAGCAGTACTGCTAATTGAGTTATGCGCGCTCGGCCGAACACCGATGCATTATTGGTAATCGAATAATCTCCTCGCGGCGGCACGTCGCTCGCAGCGCCCCCTGCCGTCGTCGTCGAAGAATTGCGACACGAGCTTCCGTCGGCGTCGCCTGATGTCTCCGCACTGCGCCGTCGGGCGCTCTGTGATCTCGTTCCTGATCGCTCGCTGCATCCGTTTCTGCGGCGAAGGCTTACTCGATCACCGTGTTGCTCCTCCCTGCACGCGCGGCCCCGCCCGTAAGCGGTGACGTCATCGCGCGTGACGTCATCTGACGTCGGCTGCGAACGATCTTGCCGGGTACAGACGGAGACTCCAGCGCTTCGGCCGTTGCGCTGCGGCGGCCGCCGACGGCGACGGCGGGCGGTCGTGGGCGTTCGCGCGCGAGTCTGCTTGCGGCTCGGCGCGGATTGCTTCGCTGCGCCTCCGCTGCGGTGCGCGCGCTGTGGTCGGTAGCGGTCGGCCATCGACAAGCTGCGACTCCTGATGCTCCTAGCGTTACGATCGTTGCTCTTTGTCTCAAAACTTATCAATGATGGCCGCCACGTTGACCCTCTCGTGGTCGACACGCTCTGCGAGTATAGCTGGGGATAGCTCTCGCATGCCTAGCTCGGCTCTCCATCGCAGCTGTAGAAGATGTCGTGTTGCTTCTCAGGAGCAGACGACGTGTGTGAGGGGGAGGAGGCGCCTGCAGCGGCTGAGTGGGCGGTAGCGATCGACGGGACGGGACTAGGCTCGACAGATCGGTGAACTCGCCATGCACGTACGAAAAACTGTCGTCGCTGTCGCGCTCGACAAACTCGGCGACTGCCGACGCCCAGTCGTCACTGAACGTCGGCGACGATGCGTAACCGCCAGCGTCACCTGGTGGCGAACCGCTGCAGCTTCTAGCTCTTGCGTCGTCGTTTCCGAGTGCTAACTCAGTCGCGGCGCGACCGGTGTACATAACTAAACACGGGGCCAGGCGAGCGTAATAATACTCTCCGCGTTGGCATATTGATCTGTCATCATCAACCTGAGTACTATCAAGTTTAACAGATATCTGACAGAACGCCCCAATCTGACTAGTGTCAACTTTAGCGATGTCTGGCTGGTATTCCTCGCGGTGATTTTTGTCAACTTTGCGATATCTGATTGGCTGCTCTTTTTCTTAATTATGCCACCTTTAGCGGCGTTCTGACTGGATTATCGTTGTTCTGAATGCAGTCATCTTTCACGCAATGGAACGAGATCCTCGATACGAATTTCGCTAGCTGGTGCATTGCTGATCGAATGCGCAGCATTTGCTTGTGAGCGCTGCGCCTTTTCCGCCCATTTCCTTCTGTATCACTTCAGCTTGTGCCTGATGTGCGCCGGATATTTGCTTTACCGCCCAGCATTATTCACGTCGTAATGGACATTTCGTTTTTTGATCGTTGCGCGGCGGCGACGCCGTACTCGCGTCTGCCTCTCATCAAGCGCGCAACGGGGAACCGCGCTGAGTGGCGCCACCGTCGCTAGCCTCCGCGCGGTTTCTTTTCGTCATCATGTTGTGATTTTGTTGTGGTCGGTCTTCGTGAACGACGCGAAGAGAGAGGACGCGCGGGTTTTCCGCCGCAAGGCGGCCTTTTCGTTTTAGTCGGTGTTCCCGCTTCGGGGATCCGAGGTCGTACCGAGTCGTCATCTGACGTGCCCGTGCTCCTGGGTCATTCGATACCTGCCCTGAGCGGCAGCAGAGCGGCAGCAGCGGCGTCTGCGTGCAGGTACGACGCGAGCTTTAGACGGCAACAACTGCTTCGGAGCTTCTTTCGGCAACTGTTGCACCGTTCGTTCCAGCGCACCGACCTTTTCAACTCGTCGGAGAATTCGTCCGGCGTTCCCTCGCTCACGCTTTCGTTGTCTGAAGTTGTCTTCATCCGGTCGCTATTATCGATAATACGGTCGCGTCCTCGAGTTTTATCGACGTCCGGGCTATCTTCTCTCTCGCTTTGCACGAGCGGATATGCTCACAAATTGGCATCCGCCACTCGACGGCTTTTTCCATGAAGGTGTTATCGCTGACGTCTTGTTCGTTGTCGCTGTCACAATCTCGTCGCTGTCGTCGTCGCTGCCGCTGCATTGACGACGTTCGCGCACGAAAATATCGAAACTGGTCAGGTTGTCGGCGCTGTAGCTGAACGGGGGCTGTCGGCAGCGCGAGGCAGCTGCGGCAGCGACATTGCCGACTTCCTCTTGAGTCGTGTCCGGCGCCGCCGCCGCCGCTTCCACGCAGGAGCGACAGACTGCACGACCTCGCCCGATTCGCGATTCAGACTTGCGTCGAACTCCGCCGCCCAGCGCAGTACGCCGGCGTGCGACACGCGTAGCCCCGCCCGCCTCGAGGAACAGCTTCCTGGCGCCATGATGCGCGTCGCACGCGGCAGCGTCACGTAGCTGGACGCGTCGTTCAGCACCGAACTACCGGCTGCCGACGGCGAAACGTCCGACACATAACGTCACCAACGTCGCACTGTTTGAGTCGGCGTCGGACATGTTGCTATCGGATCTGTAACTTGCTGTTGCTTGTAACGTGATTGGTTTTCGTCGGCGTTAGTCGATAGCGCGTGTCGTTAATCAGTCCTCGCCCTCTCCTGCGTCACGGCTGCGTCATCGCTCGTCTATGACAAGACGACGCCGATCTCCTGTTCTGCGTCACGGTTTATTTATGACGCTCTTCTCTTCTGCGTCCGTCGTCCTGACGACGTCGCTCTTCTCACCTACCGACCGACTACTTTCAGCCAATCTATATACGCATAGTCTATATAGTCAATTTTAGTTAGCATACGGTGAGACGTTACATGGATTGTAGAGACCTTACCAACCTCAACCTGGACGATACTGTCTAGAACGAAACGCCGTTTGTGATGGTGATGACCCAGGTGCTCTGCTGTCATCTACGCTACACGAATGTTCTCAAAAACAGTTCATGATCTTCTTTATGCTGGTATGCGTCAGACATTACACAATCACATCGACGATCAAAGTCGTGTATCACTGCTACTGAACATTTTTCACGAATCTATACTATATGTTAATAAATATCCAAGCTTGGACATTGTTTTACACGCCTGCTTCGCGCGGTGCGATTCCTTCGTGTGTGAAAGCTAACACGCGTACACCCAATGGATTACACGCATTCACGCATATATATATATAATTATATTATATATATATATATATATATATATATATATATATATATATATACTAGACTTTAATGTGAATATGACTCATCAGGTGTGTTCCAGCTGCATCGGTGCGCCATGCGGTACTGCATAAATACTTAGGCTACAGATGTAATACACGTGCGTGTATGTATATATGTATGCATCTATATCGTCTATGTAGCATGCGCCCTTGCTCACCTTTTCTTTCGCTACTGCATAAATTAACATCTTAAAGGCAGTCATCTGCATAATCATCGCATTTATATGGCTTAATTTTCCCGTTCATGGATTTTAATGCCTAACCGACAGATAAGCTAATTAACAATTTTAATCAGCGTTGGATAATTATTCACCGTGCCAGCGTTTCCGTAAATTTGTTAGATTCGTGTAGCTAGAATCGTAAGCGTAGTAGAAGCGTAGAATCGCAAGCGAGTAGGTCTCACGCATAGATTGTGTGTGGAGATATCTTGCATTAGACATTACATTTATCGAACTTTTTATGGCTCGTATCAAGAGCGTATAAAGAAGGCCTTCTATATACGCTCTTGCTCGTATCTATACGTGCAAAAATGAGGCAATGTTTCTCTACGTATTAGTTGTTGTTTTCTTTAAGTGATGCTCAGTTGATAGCCCCAACGTGTATGCTCACGTACGTAGGCCTACACCCCCTTAATGCCTGTTCACACCGCCTTTCACCTCTCCATCCGTCCCCCTAAGCGTTTTCGTGGATGCCTAGTTTGAAATGTGTCATTCGCATCCGTTCACTGTCTTCGATCTGCATACGTGTACTTTGCTTACACGCATTGTCGACATCGCATATATACGCTACGTGACCGTACAGAAGCTCACGAGTTATGCACGACATGTATAGTGCTGAAAGCGATGCTGATTGGTTAAGCGAATCTGCATAATGAATTATTGCCCCTAATAGTGGGAATATTAGTACAATATTAGCATATATAAATATATATATATATATATTATAGAGAGAGAGAGACTAATATATAGCAGTAGCATTAGGGCCTAATTAATATATTATTTCTATGTATTTTATTAGTATGAGTCCATATTAGTAATGCGCTCAATATGCATGTAGATAATGACATTGCTAGTTACGTGTGCCTAGCTGCCTCTGTAAATAAAAAATACTCATTATATATAAGATATGTCATCATGTAATCAATCTACGCCAGGCACACCATATCTCGTTGTACACCATCTCATTTAGCATTAATTGAACATGCATAAACAGAGATCTATACTTTAGTATAGTTATATACAGTCATAGATATCATACAATACGTATTGTATTATATCTATGGTAGCAGTTCAGTTCAGAGATGCACTGAATTTCTTAAATTAAATGTTGATATTGTTATCATGGCTGACTTTTGGCAGACGGTGCACGTATTGCCATGTTTAAATATCGTTTTGCCTATTGCTGATTTAAATAATTATAGCGCACCTGCTCTTTTTTAATGAAACGAGGTGCGTTATAAGCGTAAGGTTTGCATTATAATATCAGGAGTGAATAATAATCGATTTTAGTATTCTTTTATTATTAGAATCTATTATATTATTCACTCCTGTCCTGATAATAATAATATACACCACAGCTCAGTGGGGGAAAAGACGGTGCTGAAATCTGTTTATTTTCTTATATTCACGACAGAGGGGGCACATTCCAGTTCCGGTGTAAACATTACTCACCAAGATGTCGTTGAATACATCGCATAACCGCGGTGGCGTCATTATTTACAATGGAGAAAGGTAAGGTGTCTGTTAAATGTAGATAGATATCATACAGTGTAATATATTTTAATATAGTTTACTATATTTTACCTTGGTCAGTATGCGTTGGCAGGAAACCTTGTTATGTTAATCAGAGGCAGTGATAAAAATAAAATCATGAGTCCATGTTAGTTGTTACTGTTAGTGTTAGTGTTAGTGTTAGTGTAGTCCGAGCCGACGCAGACCCCAGTAATGGGTCTGATAAACCCGCACCCTCAGATTAGCAAAGCGGAGTTTACGTCTGCATTTGCGGACTAGTGTTAGTGTTACTGTTACTGTAACTACTAACTGTAATACTAATAGTGTTAGTGTTAGTGTTACTGAGTTGTTAGTGTTAGCACTGTTACATTATAAATACATGTACTACTACTAGTACTACTACTACTACTAGTACTAGTAGTAGTACTACTAGTGATATTTTTAGTTGCACCTAATCTTCTTAGTCATTGTAAAAACGTTTAATCGAACGTTTACATTGTTGTCTAAACGGGATGTTGTCTCACGCATTGACAATGATTGATAGCAAGCCTCACGCATTTAGCCACAGGCACTTGGAGCGTTTCAATAAAACACGATGCTAAATAAATACGAAATTTATTTACTACTAAAGTCTTAATGTTTCTCTACTCAGTCTTTCACCTATTATTGCCGACAATTTCCTGTAAATGCCGTCCAAATGCTCATCTGCAACACGCGCTGGCTGCCGCACGCTAGCTGCTGCACACGGACACATAAATATATTATACTTATAGCAGGTAGGAAAGCGTGCTGCCAAAATTCGCTTGACGCTCGCTTGATTTCACACGAATACAACACAAATATTCAACCATTCTACTCCAGTGCTCGAAATAAGCGTTGTACGGTTGTACGTGACCACATGCAGGCACTTGAAGCGTTTCAATAAAATATAATGCTAACTAAACGCGAAATCTATTTACTACCAAATTCTTAATGTTTCTATACTCTCTTTCACCTATTATTGCCGACAGTTTTCTGTCAATTTCGTCCAAATTGTTACGTCCAACCATATATGCTGCCGGCGCCATTGCTTTCGCGGCGCGACTGTTGCACGCTTACACTAATATATATAGCAGGTAGGAAAGCGCGATCGCAAAATTCGCTCGATGCTTGCTGGATTTCACACTTTCACAGCACGAATACACATCCAACAGCTGCCATCTTTGTTTGTATGTCAAGAACACTGTTTACTTGTTATAAAAACATAATGTCTCTGTTCGTAACCAAGCTGTGTCACGCGAAATCACTCAAAGACTGACGAAATTCTCGCGTTCGCGAACCTTGCCCTGTAATGTAAATGGCTGCAAGTACAGGGCTATATATATAGACTTGCAGGGTTCTCCCCAGGATGAAATTCAAACGGGGGGGAGGGGAAGGGGGAGGGGGGAAACTAGGAGGGTCCGGGGGGGGGGTGGTGTTTTTTT